CGGGTTCCTCCAAAATTCAGTCCCTGCGGCTGTACAACTAGTTGGTAGAGTCGGAGCCCCGGCTTAGAGATGGACCTGCGAGTGGCTCGGCATTTGGATCAGCAGGCTTGGACCGTCCTCCTGATTCCTTCTCCTCTTCCAGCTAGGAGTAAAAAGCACCCCCGGCCGGGGACTGTGTGGCGCCGGGGTTGTGGGGGTCACAGCAGAAATGAAACCCACCAGGACAGCTCTCCTCACCCCCCCCCAAATCCTTAGTGGTCCCCCGCGCGGAGGCGCAAGGTCCGAGAGCCCTCTCTCTGCTCCGACCTGGTTGAGTCTGCCTGTCTATCTCTCTACCTTTTTCCACCCGCAGACCTGTCTCCCACCTGTATCAGTTCAAGACCAAAAAGAAAAGGAAATGCAGAGACCCGGCGAGAGCGCGGCCCCTACGGGAGGTAGAGGAACAGAGGAAAGAGGAGAACTGAGCAACCCAAGCAGCAATCGAGAGCTGCGAAGGCCCGAGAGTATCTCTGCAGACCCGCGAGCCTTAAATACCCCAGGATGCTCTCGGGTGAGACCGTGCGCGCGCCTGAAGCGCGGACCGCCCCCCTCCCGTAGGAGTCTCCTTATTAGCATAATATATTCACTTATTAGCATAATACATTACTGAGAGTCAAGGAAGAGGAAACATTGACTTCATTCTTCAGCTCTTTCCTAAATCCTCAAACACTCACAAAACAGAGAATCAGGAAAACATATTAGCAACTTAGTACAGAGTAGGAGCCCAGAGCTGAGGGAAAACAGCATCAAAACAAGAGGGGAGGGGAGAGAAAGCGTCCCCAGTCGGTTCATTGGAGAATCTGCTACAAGACGTAGGAAGGGGTGGAAGGATGGATGGGAGCGGAGCCCAAGGTCTCTATTAGCATAACATATGCAAATAGTTACAGCAGCCACTGTGATTGGAGAGGAGCTTGGAGACCTTTCCCCTCCCATCACCGAGTAGCTTCAACGAGTAACTTCAACTTCCTCCTAAGGCCATCCCTCTGGCTTTAACCAGGGACGGGATCGAAGTCTGCAGTGTGGAGTGGCTTATCCTGGCTTAGCCCAGCGCCCCCTCTCTATTTGGGTTAAAAAAATGGAGAAATGGCCTCCTGAAGGGAAGAACGGAAGCAGAACGCTCCAGCTCTGCAGATCTTTGCTCAAAGGATCTCCTCCACCGCAGGAGCTCCGTCCTCCACCTAGCCCTAGTGCTACGTTTTCCCTCCTCCCTCAGTTCGTTCCCACATGCCCAGAGGCAGTGTCTGGTTGACACCTGCAGGGTACCTTCCCCACTTCCCTTCCTTCCTACATGTTGCACATCTCCTTAGAGGTCTGCCAGAGCCTGACATATTCAGAGGCAGATGCTCACAGCTAACCATTGAACTGATCATGGGGTTCCCAATGGAGGAGTTAGAGTGAAGACTGAAGGAGCTGAAAGGGTTTGTGACCCCATGAGGAGAGCAAAAATATCAACCAACCAGAGCCCCCAGGGTCTAAACCACCAGCCTGGGAGCACATAGGGAGGGACCCATGGCTCCAGCTGTATATGCAAGGGAGGATGGTCCCCTCAGGTATAGGTAGGAGAGGAGGTCCTTGGTCCCATGAAGGCTGGACGCCGTATGTGGGGTAATTCGAGGGTGGGGAGGTCGGAGTGGTGGGGGAAGAAGGAGTTCCTGGGAGTGGAGGGGGGAATGGGGTAAGGGGATATCATCTGCAATGTAAATAAAATAACCAAAAAAAAAAAAAGAGTTCTTTCTAGCATTTAAATCAAATGTGCTGTGGAACACCATCCTCTGGGAGATGGCTGTGGCCCTCCGCATCAGAGCAACTGACTACCCACAGGAATGCCTCCCAAGACCAGCCCTGTTGCTGTCTCCCCATAGGAGGGTGCAGTGAATCTTTAGACTTTATCTGAGACTCCAGGCACTCATTTCTGAACTGCTCTCCCAGAGGTCTGCAATTCTACCTTCCTGCTCAGAGTCTCCAGAAGTGCTAGCATATAGAGACAGATCATTAACTGAAGGGGCTTCTGCTTTCGCAGCTATGAGGAAGCCAGCAAGTGCACTATGTATAATATTTTAGAAATGTAAGCTGTTTGGAGGTCACCCGTGCTCTTATAAATAACCAACCCCTTATCCATGCTCTTGTAAGAAATAACAATAAACAGACCGGTTCACCAAGCTGGACTTGGGTGGAATCTATCCTTCGGTCCGTCACTGATACTCTATCTGTATTGAGACATTTAGTCATGTCTACCCAGGTAAAGTCAACACAACACAATGAATATTTAATTACATAGTTACTTTGTTCCATTCCTTGTACCCAATAAAGAATCATTGTGACAGAGGGGAGATAGAATAATTTGAAGTTACTGTGGTTTCATGGGCAGCCAGTTTGAACTGACAGTAAAATGGGACTATGATCTCTTCCAGTGCATAAGCCCCTTTGCACTTTGTGTGTACTTGTGCATGTGTGTGCATGTGTGCGCATGTGTATTGTACAGGTATGTGTACATTTGTGTGATTTCTGTATAGTGGCCCAAGGTTGATGCTGGTGTCCTCCTCAATCTCTCTACTTTATTTATCAGTGAATGGTCTTTCACTGAACCCAGAGCTCGCTCTCCCAGCTAACCTAGCTGGTTCTCTGCCCTGTGGATTCCCTGTGTCCACCTCCCCAGTGCTGGGCTTACAGGTGACTGCTGTGTCTGCCTGGCTCTCACGAGGGATCTCAACTCCGGCTCTTATGCTGGCATGACAATCACTTTTTTACTGAGTCCTTTACAGTTCGTTGCAATGTGTCCTGCACTCCCTGAAGCTGCTGCCACTCCACTGTTATTATCGAAGGGAGAACTTGGGAAGCCATGCTCTGAGCCAGTTTCTGTCTATGGCATAGTAGAAAAACCAGAGGGAATTCAAAAAGAATCACACAGGCAAACCTCAATCTTTTTCCTAGTTTCACCACCTAATAACGCTTGGGTTTCTGTTTTAATTACTAATGACCCTGTGCCTTCTGGCCCCATTAGTCTATTTTTAAACTGTGGAGTCTTTCTTTCTTTCTTTCTTTCTTTCTTTCTTTCTTTCTTTCTTCCTTCCTTCCTTCCTTCCTTCCTTCCTTTCTTTCTTTCTTTCTTTCTTTCTTTCTTTCTTTCTTTCTTTCTTTTTAAATTCATGCCTTTATTATAAACTACAAAAATTTTAGAAAATACAAAAATAATTACACATTGCCAAACAGGATAATTTCTAATTGGCCACATTATAATTCAAGCCAGTTTGTCTGGGTTCTTAATGCTAAGCTTAAACTAAAAGAAGCCATTGGGCTCCCACACTCACTAGAGTTAAATGCTAAGACATTGGCTTAGTAGGCTGTCTATGCCTAGTGGCAGCACCTCTGCCTGTGACCTCTAGACAAATAAAAGGCTCTAGTCAGAAATCTGTACAGTGCTAAGAGTTGTCCTACACACCAAACACCCTAGGACAGGCCTTTAACTAATGCTGTAAATCATTTGGTTCTAAACTAAAGTAAATTTTTTTTTTAAATTGTTTCTTGGATTTGCAGTTCAAATGCAAACAAATAGGACGTATTTTTGCTGAGGTCTCTGAAGTTTCTATCTGGCTATGTTGGATTTTAACTGACTATTTGAAATCATCGTGAATTAGGATCCTTGTCAGTCAGTAGCTGAATACACTTGTCCTTGAGAGAAACCGTAGTGTAAGCACTGGCCTCGGCTAGCCTGGCTGCTCGCTGTGCATCGGATGGCTCAGCTCCTCGGCTCGTGCATCCTGTTACAACTTTTCAGCCAGACTCTCTGTTTCTAATAAAATTAGGGTTCAATCCCTCTTATTAGGTCTATCACCTCTAAGTTTCAAATGCAAGTGTGCTGTGGACGAGCGCCTCCCAGAGAAGAGCCACCAAGCCAGCCTCCATCTGGACTCTCTTGCCCCAGTACATGACAGGGACCTTAAAACTGGTCCTCCACAGCTGTAGGTGTGGTGCCAAGGATCCAAAGGAATAGACCCTAAATACAAGGAGCAGCGGCCTCTGCTGCCAGAAACCGAGACTTCCCAGGCTAGGCCAGGCTGTAAGTAGAAGCAATGCCAAACCCAGCGAAGGAGCTGAAGGGTATGGAGCTAAGGACCCCCCAGCTTTTAACTGTGAGCATATTCTTTTCTACTCACCTCACCCCACCCCACCCTCTCTGTGTATCCTGCAACCTGAAGATTACAGACAGACACAAAGCCCCTCTGTGACAGGAAAGAGCTCAAGGCAGCTTCATGCAGCAAGCATGGCTTCACTTTTGAGGAATGGAGTGGAAGCTCTGAGAGAAACAAGAAATCCCAGTCCAGTTTACTTAAAGTTTTATGACTGGAAACTGTGTGTGTGTGGGGTGGGGAGGGCATATGTGTGTCTCTGTGTATATGGGTAAGTGTGTGTGTGTGTGTGTGTGTGCAAGCAAACATGCATGTCTATGTGTGTAATGTGTAAGTGTATGTCTGTGTGTGTATGTACATTCACATGTGTGCATGTGTAGTAAGTGTATGTGTGTATATGTGCATGTGCATGCACGTGTGTGTATATATGTGTGTATGTGTGTGTGTATATATGTGTGTAAGTGTGTATGTGTATATATGTGTGTAAGTGTGTGTGTTTGAAGGAAGTACTACAAATCAGGGACAAGGCATTCCAGCCTCCCTAAAGATGTGTTCCGAAGCTCCTTCAGTAAGAGGCTTTGTAGCAAGTATTGGTGGGCCATCCATGGTTCAAGTTGGGCTCTGTAATTCTCTATCTTCAGAAAACCTCCCTCTTCAAACAGTCCTAAGGCTAACATATCATATCAGCAACTGATTACACAGGCTCTTTGGAAGGACTCTCAGGCAAGCCAATCTGCTCCAAGGCTCCATCTTTCTCTACCAGGCTGCAATACCTTTTGAAACCACAGTAATATCAGGGGCAGCAGAGGGCTTCTCAACATGACTGCTTCACCCTCACAGAGCAGGACTTATCTTCATAAGAAGCAATGGGAGCTCCTCTGTCACAAGCTTGATTCCGGGAATTTCCTATGGCAGGGAAACATGAATACACTGTGTCAACCACCCATGCTCAGGCCTTCAGAAAGTGTCTTCTACATAGACAGGAGCCGAGGATACCCAACTTCCTGTGTGATAACTTCTACTTCAAATAACTTCCTAGTACAAGTAGGGTACTGTGTCTCTTGCCTTGGAAAATGAAATATCCCTTTTTTGGTTTTGTTTTGGTTCTTGTTGCTTGTTTGTTTGTTTGTTTGTTTGTTTTTTTTTTTTTTTGCGGGGGTTGGGGTTGGGATTTTTGTTTTGTTTTGAGTTTGGTTTTTGTTTTGATTTGTTTTTGTTATGTTTGAGAGGGTTTCTCTGTATAGCCCTGGCTATGTCTTGGAATTCACTCTGTAGACCAGGCTGGCCTCGAACTTACAGAGATATGTCTGCATCTGCCTCCCCAGTCCTGAGATTAAAGGTGTGCACAACCACCCCACTTTTTTCTTTTCTTTTCTTTTTTTAAGTATTCTTTAAATAATAGCTGACTGGTTCTCTAAAGAGAGAGGAACAATCATTGTGAGAAAATATAGAACTAATACTGTATTTTTAGACATTTCTACTTAAAAACAAATGAGGGAAATTATATTTGAGCTATTAAAGTCACAATTAAATGAAAGCATCCCATTATCTGTACGCCTTTCCTTTCTGCTCTTGTCTTCTTTCACTATTTGTAGCACTAGTTGGTCCTGTCCTCTCTAGAAGGAACTAAAGTGAATGGAGTCCACTTAGATCTCAGGACCTCTTAAAGAATGTGTGACAGTCCAGTGCTAAGATGTGCAGTTCATGCCAGTTAACCCCACCCCTGGCATCCTGCTAACTAGTGACCAGTAGAACAAACCTGGTGAGCCAGAAGTAGTTGAATGTCTAATTTGAGGCAAGAGAGATAGAGGCAGGAGGATCATGAGTTCAAGGCCATCCTTAGTGTCATAGGAAGTCTGAGCCCAGCCTTGGCTGTACGAAACTCCACTCCTTAAAGAGCTGGGGACCAAATTTAAAAGGATAAACTTCCCAACTTGCCCTCACCCCATAGATACTATAAAAAAAAATGTCTCTGTGTTAACTATGTAGTTTGCCTTTCCGCCAGTCAATCCAGATTCCTTCAGAATGCAGATGGCAATTTAAGAGTGCTTTGTAAAGATGTCTGATTGGCGGGCACGTGTTGGCGGGTGCGTGGACAGCTGAATGCCACCTACACACTATTCCTACGGGAGGAAGTCACCTGTGGTGAAGCAGTAAACTGCAGAACATCAGTGCTACTGAGTTCCTGCAGGTAAGGATCTCCGCATGCTTCTCTCACCGATGCTCAGCGACAGACACCTCAGAGCAGCCCTGGGATCCCAGGTTCTGTGATGTTAATATTTATTCTCATCTTGGCAGTGTCTAGAACATCTCTGACATGTCTGTGAGGCATAGCTCATTAGGTGGATTGAGGTGAGAAGACCAGCCCTACATACAAGCATCACCTTTCCTTGTGGGTATGGGACTGCAGAGAGCTTTAATCCAATGGGGCTAGAGCATTTGCAGCTCCTAACTTCAGGCTGAGGTGCAGTATGGCCAGCTGCCGCCACGCCACTATGCTTTCTCCACCGTGAAGGACTGTATCCAAAAAACTATGAGAAAAATACCTCTTCTCTCTTAAACTGCTTCTTGTGTTATTTTATTTTTTTATAGCAACAAAAAGAGTAACTTTTGTAAGTTCTAAATAGGAGTTTGAAAGGTACAATAGTAACATTTTAGAACAACTATAATCACAATGCACAGTTTAGAATTAGCTAGAGCAAGAATAGTTTCTAGTATTTTACTTAACCGTATAGAAGGCCATTGACGTGTATAGACTCTGCATACAATTAAATTCAGAGTTTGGGTTTTTTGGTGTTTGTTTGTTTGTTGTTGTCCCGTGTTTAAAATAATAGAGTTTATTTTAAAAATCCAGCTGCTGGTAAGTGTAGTGCTATGCATCTGTGATCCAAGTGAGAGGCTTGCCCAGAGCAAGCCTGAGCTAAACAGTGAATTCTCTGTCTCAAATTAAAAAAAAAGAAATCCAAGTCAATCTTTCCATCCGGATATGTGAACTTGCTACTTCCTGTGTAGCAAGCATTAGGGATGACTGTTGACTAGGGAAGGATAATATTTGCATCATTACTAAAGATGAATATGAGTGCACAGAGCATGGGACTGGAGGAGGCCTTTTACGGGAACTTATCCCAACCACAAGAAGTTTTAAAGCCACTTGGTAAACCCCAAGATAAGTCTAGCGTATCGAAGTTATAACTATGGGTTTCTCTACATTTTTTTGTGGGACTTCCTGATGTCATATGTGTGTGTTCACAAGGTCTCCTGGGTCTCAGAGAGCCTTGAGAAATGAACAAATGAATCCCTGCCCATTGGGATGATGGCTTCACACAGCATCCAGGTAAGAACACAGCCCAGGGACCACTGCTCCCAATCCTGCGTCTCCACACCTCGGTCATAGGACAGAAGAGCAATAGGTAACACACAGAGGGAGCTGAGGTGTGTGTTTCCTGACCCGATGGTGTAACCTGCAGACTTCCTGCCGCATAACCACATTCTGCCTATACATTCGTAAGTCATTTGAAAGAAAAGCAAAGTGGGTGCTTAGGAAAAGGAGAAGCCCTGTCTTTACCCTTGCAATTTTACACCATAGCAAAGAAATCTATTAACTATAATCCAAAAAGCAATCAGAGAAGGCCTTCAGGAAAACACTATTATTGTAATTATCAAAACTTTAGAAATTAATCAAACATAACTGTGTATGGTGGTGCATGCCTGTAATCCCAGCACTTGGGAGGGAGGAGCACTTGAGAGGACCAGGGATTTAAGGAAATCAGCTACCCAGGCAACCGAGGAAGGTCAGGCTGGAGCATATGAGCTCATGTCTCAAAACAAAAAGAAAAGAAAACAAAAAATATTAAGTAAATCAAATGCATTTGACTCTTTCTTTTCTTTAGACAGGGTCTCACTACTACGTAGCCCAGGGTAACCTCCAACTGAGGATCTTCCTGCGGAGGCCTCCTGAGTGTCGAATTACATACATGTTCTTTACATGCCTCTACCAATTGTGTTGAGACAGAGACAAAACACAAAGTGAAAAGTGTCATGATTTATCTAGTACATATTTCCCAATGCCTGCTGCCTAAATTTTTGCTTAAATACTGCTATAAATACCGTTTTAATTCAACTCCTGCTTCAAGACCAAGCACACTGCTCCACCATCTAACTGAAAGGGGAAGAGGTGGGCACTGTGGGCTGCCTTATATGGACCAGCGTCCTGGTGCATCACCGTCTACTGTAAAGGTGTCTAGACCAACAGGAAGCATGTGTCTGATTCTTCCTGAAGCTCTGAGTTGCCTAATTTTCTTTATAAATCTTTATAAAAACAAGGAAAGGTATCCTAAAAGTCAAACTCTACCAAGAATCATCACAGTGGTCTAACCATTCCTCATTCATAACATCTATTACATACTTGAATCTGGTCAACACAGGAGTAAAAATGTCTTATAGAATACCATCACTGAAGCTCTGTTCTGCCTGCCAGAAGAAAGAGAGACAGTCACCCTGTGTCTGCCCATCATGCGTATTGCTTTATGTAAATACTTCTGGCCAGTGCTCACTGTAGGCTGAGCATCTTTGACCAAGGTGGTTACCAGCAGAAGTGATTCAGATTTGGCTTTTAAAAAATTTTAGGTTTTGAAATCCTTCATGGACATGAGGTCTTTTATTTATTTGTCTTTCATAACACACACACACTTTAGAAACATGCCTTTGAGTCTTCCCAAAGCATCCAACTTTTACTGACACAACAAAACTCCTTTTGCATATGCATTTCAGAATATGTATATAATATATATGTGTATATGCATGTGTATGCATGTATGTATATTGAATTTACCAGGTAGGATAATTTTTTCATATGTGGCATTACATTAACCTTTAAAATGTTGCAGATTTTGCAGCATGTAGATTTTGAATTTTCTGATTAGGGTTGTTTATACTGTCTGACAAGAAATTTCAATTCAGCTCTTTGTCAGTCAAAACAGAAGTGAAATCACAAAGCTAGTTACCATAGCAGGAATGGTCTCTCATGGCCCACAGTGCTGAGCCCACCATGACTTTGTTACTTACTGCGTTCCAAGTCAGCACAGAGGAGTAAGGTAAGAGCATGTCCACGTCATCCAGCTCTGCATACACACTCCCATAGGAAGAAGCTGAGCAGATTATAAAATGAGACATAACAGAAACAGAGAAGTCAGCATGGTGATTTAACCACATCCGGTAAACCTGTAAACCCTCGCCGCTCACTCATGTCACTGGACGTTAGCCATTGTGATTTTATCTACAGCTTAAAGTGTTCAGGTGCTCCTTTTACAATGAGAAGAGTAACTTTTTTTTTTCTAAATCATTTTGTACTGCTTGGTACCATGACATGATGCCAGTCATACATTGCCAACCAACATAAAACTGGGCTAAGAAAGATCCATTTTACAGAAATCTTTGTTAATAAGGTTACAGAATCAAAATCTGATCTTTACCTCATTGGTCTCTGCAAACCACAGCTTCTTGCAAAATCCACAAGGGAATGAGATTTCGTTAGCCACTGATTGCAATGAAATTAAAAAAATTTTTTTGACAGAAGCCTTCATTATCAACTTACTGACTTCCCTTAAGCGAAAGGTTGAACATACAGCTCACAGCACAGCACCAGCAACGCTTACCAATTAGAAATTCTTGAATCAGGTCAAATGAATGGCATGCAGAGACACGCTCGGAAATCCACTGAATAATCTTTTAAAAGGAAGGCCACAGAACTCTGTTGGCTTTTAAATCTGTACTGCGTCCCACCAAAGTGGTACAAAATATGTAATATATAATACACAATACATGTATAAAGATGTAATATATAGTGAATGAAGTTTTTAAATTCTACATCTATTTTGTAGTACCCTGAAAACATACCTACTTCTAGCTTAAAAACTAATATAGTCCTGACAGTATTGTAAATAAGATCATTTGTAGATATCTTTTTAACAGAACCCTTTGGGTAGGCTCCAGAAGAACCTTCCTCAACACAATATGCATTTTTTTCAAGCACGGATGGTGTTATGCAAAGTACCCATCAAGAGATCTACTGGACACAGGAGTAATGCACAGCAAAACCATGGAGCTTACAGACACCAGCATTGGGTTAAAGTCCAGTGCAGCCATCACTGTGAATGAACACCTTCACACCACTTACCACGAGGAGGACCTCTGTCCTTCCCTTTCAGTGGACAGAAATCACCTACCACATCAGCAACTTCTTACACAATTTCTATCCCTCCACTCAACTGCTGGAAGAAAGATGTTCTCACCTTTTACTTGATGGCTGAGGGAAAACATGTCTAGCTATAGCTCACTCTCGACAGGATGCTTTATTCTAAATCTACTGTGCCAGTTGTACTTATTTTTACATAGGCAGTTTAATCAAAATGTCTACAAACAAGTTCAATGCAGATTGCATCAGTAAAAGTGGCATATTGTGGCAAGAGTCAAAAATCATGTTTCTATGACATGACAAGACGAGAGCTGGATTCTGAAACACTAAATGGCGAGATGTAGAAGAAAGGACTGTAGAGAGTGGGTAAAGGCAAGTCTACACTCTTCTCTACACTACTGATCTCCTTAGAGATAAGATGTTTACAGGCTGAGGAGATGGCCCAGTGGGTGAGTGATTCCATGCAAGCATGAGGACCTGATCCCTAGAACCCACATAAAAATGAGGGTGCAGCATATGCCTATAACCCCAATGCTGGACAGAGGCAAGAGGCACTGGCTGGCCAACTGGCCAGCCGAGCACAGAAAAAAAAGCTCCAGGTTTAGAGAGACCCTGTCTCAAAAATTAAGGTGGAGAATGCCTGAAGACACACAATGTGCATAGATGTGCATGCACACACATGCGTGTACACCCATGAAGACACATGTGAATGTGCATCCACATGCACAAACCTTTCCAGAAGGACAGGAAATCAGAGAGTATTGATTTTATGGAAGAAAAATGACAGAAGTTTAGTTAGCTCATTCACAAAGAACAGGCCTTGGTCTGTACTAAAGTTAGGCAAATAAATGTATCTTTTTATGTTTCCTTTAAGTGTACTTTTTTCAACTAACTAGTCACCCACTAATCCCAGTCATCACTGATTGATAAAAGAAGTTTCTTGACTTGTTAGAATTGCTTCAGAAAGTAAGTGACAAAATAGTGCTTTATACGTGGCAGGGTGCAGTACAAAGTAAGCTATCTTATTAAAAATGTAATAAATATTTGCCACAAGATCTTAGAACTTTGGTGTTTGTTTCTTCAGAGAAGGTTGGGACAGGAATTAATTCTATAATCCAAGATATCATCACACTTACTGTGTAACCCAGGCTAGCCTTGAACTCATAGAAATCTCCTGTCTTAGCATTTGGGATTGCAGATCTGAGGCACTATACCTGGCCTGCTTGGCCCTTTTGGTAATGCATTATACCAGATACAAACAGGAAGAGGGGAGCAGGTCATCTGAGAAACTCATTATTTTCTGAGCGTGTCCTTGGAACACTAGTTCACAGCATGGAGAAGCCAAATAGAGTACTGAGTTTGGGGGCTCACACCTGAAATCTCAGCACTTGGGGAGACCAATGTGAAGTGCTTCAACTGTAAGGCCAGTGTGAGCCACAGAGTGAGAACTAGACCAGCCTGGATTACAGAGAAAAACCTCATCTCCGAAAAACAGAGAAAGGAAGAGAGAGCAGAGGAATTAGTTGCTCTTTATCTTCAGGAGATACATTTCAAAACAGCACAAACCTTAGCAACACTGACCAGACAGTATTTCTTTTCCCATTAAGTCAAGAACTTTCAACTTCTCATTTAAAGGAAGCCCCAAGAAAGACTATACTCAACAACACTGTTCAGAGCAAAGCCTAACTTCTGCGTGTTTTGAAGCACTAAGTAAGCACACTTGGTGTCATCTGTTGCCAGTTTTTAAATTCGAGCAAGCAATTGTCTCACCTGTTCTTCCCGGAAACCTGTGTCTCGACCACAGGACAGTGCACAGTGCAGTGCAGCCTTTATCTCACAGTCTAGATGGGTGTTCCATAGGAACCACATCAAGTATGACTGGTTAAGGGTTGCTCTGTAGACCTTTCCAGAGTAGCAGTCCAGAATCAGGGACCCTGGCGGGGACTGCAAAGGACTTGAAGGTAGCACAGCAGCCATTTTGTTGTTTCCTAGCAAACAGAAAAAACAAAACAAAAAAACCAAAAAAGCAGATCACTAAATAAAAGATTGCACCTAGACAGTTACTCAAGTAAGCAAGCAAGACTGTGTCTCTGAGACAGAAGCTACAACCTTTCCTGTCAGAAACAGACTGTGGCAGATCAAGTCTGGATGCTGAATGTTAAGAAAATGAAGGAAATGGCCAGGGGAGTAAACAGCCACAAAGTAGCCTGTAGGAAGAAAGAGAGACTGGAGTCATCCACCATCCACCTGTGATACAATCTATTCCGGTGCAGAGAAACCCCAGGACAACATGCTTTTTTTTGAATATTACAAGGCAGCATATTTGTTTCCTTGTTACCAGTAGCACATGGTGAGACCCACGGGAGTATTTTCACCTTAGAATCCAGATCTGATTGGCTCTGTGTGTACCTCACACTCTTTGTACACTTAAGACATGGCTGTCTTGTTTATACCTATAGTTTTGTTTCTGAGTCAACAGTAGCTTTATATGAATCTAAGTGATCTGGAAGGAAATTAGAATAAAACTATTCTAACAGGAATGACTCCTCAGTGTGATAAGCTAGGGATAGTACGTAATAGGAATTTTCTTCATCTTTTCGATGGCTTGAGGAAGCTATGAAATGTGTTTCCCATGTGGGCCCACTCATCATCGTCATTTTGTTTAGGAAAGTTTAAGACTAGTATTTATCAAGAGCATGTCTCTGGGAGCCTTGACACTGTGCAGTTGTTGGTGGTTTTCTTATGACCCTAGTACCTAGAGTTGGCACCTTCACAGTTTCTACACACTATGCATATTTGCATAATCAGAACGTTTATACTCAAATTGAGACAAACTATAATAACAGGCTCCTAGGATCTCAGAAAAACAGAGTACTGAATTTCATAAAAGAAACTTCCTTTTTTTTTTTTTTTTCAGTCAGCTAGCTGGGCTCCTCTCCTTAAGAGGCACATGATAGTCCCTGCTGTAGCAGGCACTCATGGAAAGGGGAGGATAAAACTCCAACCAATCAACGTGTCCTTTCAGAAGACAATAATAAATAGCATTAAAAAATGTAATGCAAAGACTTGCAAGCTCTTATCATTGCGGCAACACTACTGTAGCAAATGAAAGAAATTATTTAGAGGGACCTACTAGAAAGGTATGGGTATCCAATTGTGATGGTTTGTATATGCCTGTCCCAGGGAGTGGCACTATTAGGAGGTATGGCCTTGTTGGAGTAGATGCAGCAATGTGGGTATGGGCTTTAAAACCCCCATCATAGCTTCCTGGAAGCCTGTATTCTGCTAGCAGCCTTCAGATGAAGATATAGAACTCTCTGCTCTTCCTGCACTGTGCTGGATGCTGGCATGTTCCTGCCTTGATGATAATGAAATGAATCGCTGAACCTGTAAGCCAGCCCCAGTTAAATGTTGTCCTTATAAGAGTTGACTTGGTTGTGGTTTCTGTTCACAGTAGTAAAACCCTAACTAAGATACCAATAATCTATGTTAACACCCCTCATGACTAATCAGTGTGTTGTGGTAGTGTGATGTCTCAGGACATTAGAAAATATACTAAGGTCGTGTAAGGTGACACATTGTTGGGATAGGGTAGGAGAGTCCTACTAACATTTGTTTAGTGAACTCTAGGGTTTTCTATCCCATAGTGTGCAGGACAGTGCCATAAAAATAATTAGTGTTTTAGCTAAAACATCAGTAGTTACCTGTGTCAGGGTCAGTGAAGGCCGCTATTCCTGCTGGTGACTCTGTGACTGTGACTCTGTCAAATTAGAAAAGATCCTACCACATTTAGTTACCTGTGTGTGTGTGTGTGTGTGTTGAAAACAACTTGTGGGGTTTTCCACCTGGGACTGAACGTGGCTCAGGCTTGTGCTCCACAGCCCTCACCCACAGAGCCCTCTGGCCTGCCCTAAATTAACTTTTCATGAAGAGAATCTGTTGCAAGTGTGATTAGGACCTTGAGATGAGGAGAGAATCCTGGATTATCCTGGTAGACTCGGTGTGGTTACTAAGTGTTGCTAAGAGGAGGGGAGAGGGGAACTGGCCTGCAGAGGGTGACCACACAGTGACAAAGCAACCTGAATGATAAGATTAGTCTCAAAGGCCAGAGGAGGCAGGAAGGAAGTTCTTCCTCAGACACCACAGAAGGAACAGGTCCAGCCCTCAACTGGTTTCAGTTTCCTCAGCACCCCTCCCCCTTTCCAGCCTGGGATCAGAATGCCTGTGCTGCTTTAAACCCTGCCTGTGTGGTCATCTGTTACACAGAGACGGAAACCGACAGGGCATCTCTAAGGAGAGACACTGAAAGGAACCTTCCTCAGCCTCCACTTCAATGTTTGGGAGATGGGACAGTCATCCTCGGGCAGACCGGCTGTGAGGATCAAAAATAAGCAAACTTTGTAACATACGTTATTTACTAAACAGTGGCTTTTATTCATGGGCTTGCCTGACAGACGTAGATGCTGTTGTGTGACTGTTTTCCCCTCCACACCAAAACATGCCTCAGGGAGGGAAGGGCAGAGGCGCTCTCATGTTCCTATAGGAAATCCCAGTAAACACACTGGTTTACCAAGATGGAATAATTTGTTTGGTGTGCTGTTGCCCTATCTGGAGTAAATAGGGATTTATGTGTTTCCCCAGGAAAAGTAGTGCTAGATTAAAGTCTCTGTATTTCAACCAGTGCAAATCCTTTTCATCAGGGTAATAATAAATGGAAATTATAAGCAATGGATAGCAAAACATACTTCTCAAAAAAGTAAATGTTACCATGAAGATTCTCTCAAGAACAGTTTAAATCTTGGATACAGCTTTATAGCTGCTAATAAATCATGCTCAAGAAGGGAAGATAGCTGTGTGAGACAGGCTGTTTTTACAAGCTCTGGACTGAGTCATGCTATTCACAGGAGGAGAAAAGGAAAGGCACCGTTAGTTGACAGGCTCTCCATCACTGTTGAGACGGGCACAGGCTCGGGAGCCGTTCTATCTCCCTCCTGCATCCCAGGAAGCAATAGAGACAGGCTCTCCAAGGCCATTTCCCACAGACCCAAGATCATGTCAAATGTGCCATGCACTTTCAAAAGATGCTTAACCGCACCAATAGTAGCATTTAACATACAAACTTAAAGGGTCTCAAATCGCCACAACAACAAAAGAGCAAACCAGAATGCCCACCAAGGTTGAGAAAAGTGATGCCATTTGTGACCTGTGAGTCAGCACTTCCAGGAGCTTCAGTGAAGGTCTTTCTGTATCCTGCAAATGAAGAGCGTGAAGCCAGAGAGTGTATTCAGAAAAGAAAGGCTCAGACTGACCTCACGCTATATAACAGTCTCACAGACAGGGCAAGTGGCTGCTGCCTTCTAGAGCTCTCCAAAAGCCACTAAGGTGGACCATCTACTGTGACTGAGGGCAGGCACAGAAGAGCAGACATTCCAGCTCAGGCAGAAACCCAGACCATAGGGAAGAACTGTAGGAAGGTTAGGGTCCAGTGGGGTCGTCTCAGTGATCTAAGTCGGGGGTCTCCCAGGGTTTATTTCTATGCATGACAGTTTTTGCCAACCCTCTAGGACATGTCTAGCTCACACTCCCACCTTTAGCTAGAAAGGGGAGTGAGCCTCCTGGGCAACTGTGTCCAGCGTTGCTGTATTCCTCTGACTCTGACTATGGCTGATTGAATTCCTTATGTTAATTAGAAACACATAAAAGTGTCTTACACACGCCGGAGATGAGGGGAAGATGTCCGTGTCAGGGCTCAAGGCCGAGCTGAAGTTCCTGGCGTCCATCTTCGACGAGAACCACGAATGATTCCGCATCGTCAGCTGGAAGCTGGACGAGCTGCACTGCCAGTTCCTGGAGCCGCCGCCGCCGGGCAGCTCAGCTCACATTCGCCGCCGTCGTCGCCGCTCACACTCCACTGCAACATCACGGAATCTTACCCATCTTCTTCACCAATATGGTTTGTGGACTCTGATGACCCAAATCTGACATCAGTTCTGGAACGCTTAGAAGATACTAAGAACAACAGTTCGCTCCGTCAGCAATTGAAGTGGTTGATATGTGACCTCTGCAGATTATATAACCTTCCTAAGCACCTGGATGTTGAGATGCTAGATCAACCACTACCCACGGGTCAGAATGGGACAACGGAAGAAGTAACTTCAGAAGAGGAGGTGGCTGAAGATATAGAAGACTTGGATCACTATGAGATGAAGGAAGAAGAGCCTATTAATGGGAAAAAGTCAGAGGACGATGGGATTGAGAAAGAAAATTTGGCAATATTGGAGAAAATCAGGAAGACTCAAAGGCAAGACCATTTAAATGTTGCAGTGTCTGTGTCAGTACAAGCATCAGATAGACTCATGAAGGAGCTTAGGGACGTCTACAGAGCTACAAGGCAGGGATTTATTCAGTGGAGCTAATAAATGACAGCTCATATGACGGGCATGTCAAACTACATAAGATTGACTCTGATAGTCCTTTGCACAGTGATCTTCAGATCTTAAAAGAAAAAGAAGACATAGAATATATTTTGCGTAACTTCTCTTTTAAGGATAATTTTCCATTTGATCCTCCGTTTGTTCTAGTGGTGTTACCTGTTCTCTCAGGAGGGTACGTCTTGGGTGGAGGAGCACTGTGTATGAACTTTTCACAAAACAGGGCTGGAGCAGTGCCTACTCAATAGAATCTGTCATCATGCAGATCAATGCCACCTTAGTGAAAGGCAAAGCCCGGGTGCAGTTTGGAGCAAATAAGAATCAGTATAATCTAGCACGAGCCCAACAGTCCTATAATTCCATTGTACAGATACATGAGAAAAATGGCTGGTACACACCTCGAAAGGAAGATGGCTAACTACATTGACATATGTCTGGACCGATGTTGCTTTAAAGAAAATCGTTCCAACGTACAGACATAAGCTTTCGAGTGCCCGTGTAACAGCAGTACCGAAGACATTAGCTAATAGGTCATTTAGTGGATAATCTGTCAGCTGACATCCAGTTACAGCCTTTTCATTTTGCTCACTTTAGGTATCTTGGACTGAGCAGTGGGGCCTTTACTGTATTTTTCCTGACAAGTACACACAATAGCCACTCTTTACCACCTTTTTCTTGAAAAGTGAAATCTTAAGCAGGGAAGTCAGTATCAGTTTATTGCAGCTGTGATTTTACAGTAACCTTTCTCTATTGAGCCTATGGGGTATGAAGATTTGCAAAATCCTGTTTGTTTAGAGCCAATAAAAGTTTAACTGATGGTCAATACTGGTTTAGAAATTTTTAGGTCTTCTAAACCATAGCTTTTTCAGGTATGAAATAATTTTATTGCCAAAATTATGACAGGAAGCCTCTTCATTAAATTGTTACACTTTTTCATGGTTGTGTGAAGGTTTGAACTAAACTGAAAGTATGATCCTAATTGTATCATATTAGGTACAGCAAAGCAAGGCAGCCACTTGTGAGCAGTGATTTCCACTGGGGCAACAGGGTCCTGTTGGGCTGAACCTGCTTCCTGTTGGCTCAACCTTTCTCATGAGGAAGAGCCACAGTGTAGAGCCTGAAGTTCTGAAGTAGGACATCATTTTACCTTTCCGTTTACTAGCGGGGTGTTGCAATTGATGACAAACTAATAAACTTATGGAATGATTGGCACAAAGACTCTTTGAGCAAGATTATGAAAGATACCTAAATTGGAGATCCTTAAATGATTGCTACAGTCATGCAGTGGTGTTTACGTCAGAAGACCAGCAGGAACTCAGCCTACGTTAATGTTTTATAAAATGTGACACAAATCAATGTACTTTGCATTTTATTGCCTTACCTGAATCAGTACTCTTTGGTTGGTAATAGATTCCTTTTTAAAAATAATCCCATGTTTGATTTAAATCTAGCTATTTAAGCACTTTTAAAAAAGAAACCCAGAAGCACATTTTCCTGCACAAACCAGTACGAAGTTCAACAGTATTTCTTATATATTTGATCTGAGATTATTTTTTTTAACTTTGTAAACCACACCTAAGGGACATGGCACATGTGCATTTTATGTGTGGTTTATGTTTCTCTTGATTCTGCTGGTTAAGAGGGCAGTAAAGATATCTGGTATTCTTGGTCATTTGGTTACCTTAAAGAAATGATTGCCAGTGGCTCAGATGACAAGTGACAAGGCAGAATTCAACACATTATAAAATTCCTTATGCCTAAGGCAAAATCTTGAATACATCATTGAATTCTAATTTCCTAATGGCTAGCAGATTGACAGCTACACATTTGGCATGCTTTGGATTTTTTATTTTATTTTATTTTATTTTTCATTGCAGATTTATTTGGCAATGTACAGTAAAGTTTGTAAATTGCATCAAGTTTATGAATAAAGAACCATTTAAAAATAAAAGAAATGGTCTACAGTCTAGAACAAGTCACAAGTTGGTATAAAAACATAGAAATTTCATATCTTACTATTTATCATTAATGAATTTCTTCATAAAACATATCTATACAGTTAATCATAAAATATACTGATGAAATTGTTTGCTAAACATTAAGCTCTTTACAGTTTCATTTGTTACTATTTGGAGAAAGTAAAATGTAAAAGTAAAGGAGAATAAATGGAAAGTTACCTTTATGGAGGTAAAAGACCGAATACGTGATTTCTTTCTGAGAAAGAAACTCCCTGAGAAAAGAAGATATTTGACAGCATTTAAATATTCTGCATCCTAAATTTCCCGAGCCATTATTCACCTATTTCTATTCCTTTAGACCTTACTTCATAAACTACTCATAAATTTACAAAGTAATATCAAGTTGCTATGAGTTTGAAGTCAGCGTTTCGCATCCACAGTTAGAGGCAGTGCACTGTGGCAGGCGACAAAGGAAGGGTGGGAAATGAACAGACATACTGGAAGCTGCGTAGTCTAGGAAACTTCCTGCTTCCATGAAGGTCTGGTGAATGTGCACATGCTGCCATCTTACCAGCTGTTTCCCCAAAGGCATCTCTCATAGCTCTGGACCCCGGTTATCCAAACTGTGTCCTCTCTAAAGAAAGCATCCAACATTTTTGAAGCAACATTGAAGTGTGAATCATGGACCTTTCCTATGAGCAATGAGGGTCAATACCATATGTGAAGCTACACTCATCAAAGCTGGGGCCCTGACAGCATTGTCCCACGTCAAAGGGGACCACCTAGCTCTGTATTCCCTCCCTCCAGTATCTGTGGCTAATGTCAGTTGCCAACAAATAAAGACTTTATACTTAAACTGCTTCTTGGTGAGCAGCCCTCATAAAATTGCCTGAAGCACAAACGCTTCACGTTTTAGACTCTTTTAAAGACTCTTTTTTTTTTTTAAAGATTATTTATTATATATGGATACACTGTAGCTGTCTTCAGACACACCAGAAGAGGGCATCAGATCTCATTACAGATGGTTGTGAGCCACCATGTGGTTGCTGGGATTTGAACTCAGGACCTCTGGAAGTGCAGTCAGTGCTCTTAACCACTGAGCCATCTCTCCAGCCCACGTTTTAGACTCTTGACTCTGAACTAGGCTTTCCTGGCTGAGCACTCCTGAGGCAGGTTAACTTTGGTTTGCTGGAGTTCTGCAGTGAAGCCCTGGCTGATCTGGAGTTCACTGTGCACAGCAGGCTGGCTTTGCCTCGGTCTTTGTCCTCTGTCTCCCAAGCTCTTGGTTTATGAAGCTCCTTGACTTTGCTGTTAGTTCTCTAAGTCTCAGCTTTCTCATCTGTACATTTAGAAAACACAGAACCCATTTATAAGGTTCTTCAATAATCTATATAAATCGCTAGCAAAAATACTTAGGTCTCGCTCTAAGTGTCAGCAGCTATTATTACTGCTCCAGAATCGTTTAGCTGCTATTTATAAGTTGGAGGAAGTCACAGTTTAAAGATTCAAAGTACATTCTTAATGTAATATCCAGAGACTTTAAGTAAATATTCACCACTGATGAAGATAACATCTCCACACTGGCCTTTGAGAACTACCTAGACAATGAAAACTACTACAGACGAGTTTTCCAAGGGAAATTATCTCATTGGAAAAATTATTTAAAGGCCCCATGAACTGTTCCAATGCTGGTCTGATTCTGAGAACTTGCCATCATGGGAGCAGGAAGGAGGGGGTTCAGTGCCCCACTCGTGGCCTAGGTCCCTCAGCAGGTGGTACACAGAAAGAAAGGCAGCTAACTTAGATCTCCTGAGAGAGTTTAACCACAGCCCCAGCCATAGTCAGGGTAGACCGTCAGATACAGAAGGAATGAGAATATTTTCTTTTCAGTGATGAAGTCTGATTGGCCTTCCTACAGCCATGGATTTACTAGAAATGTCTGCATGAATTAATAATCTTAAGTGATTCACAGGCCTAAGACCCATCATTCAAATTTTAGCCTTTTATTCCTCGGACTGCACCCAGCTTCACTTCCTAGAGCAGGGATATTCAGGACAAAGACGCTTGGAGTAAGTGGGTAGCTGCACAGCTGGAGGGTGGGGGGTGCTGGGTAATGATGAATGGCTGTCAATCACCATCACATTGCTGCCCTTAACATGAAGAGAGAAGTGTGTGGGCCCCTCAATCTATCTGCCTTCCTTTCTCAAGCCATGCATCTTGGTTTCACGGCCCAGACCTGTACTATACTAGAGCCAGGTGTGAGTTAAGTAACTCTGGACCTTTCTCTAATCTTACTTTGCTGAAGAAGACCTCAGTGGAGGGAAGGCCATAATGGGAAAATCAGAAAGGGAAGCTTGGTCCAGAAAGCTTCCTGAATAGAAAAATCGTGGTGCCATTCTCCCTAATCAGTGAAGAGCAGAGCAGCCCACCCAGGCAAAATTATCTGCAGCCCCAGACCACAGAACTTCTCCCATTTGCAAGGGGCTAATTTCACATAAGGAATGACATGCAAAGTGTCTCCCTCCAAGATGGAGACCTTGCCGTCCACCGCCACTCACACACGGGTCTATCAATGCCCTACCAACTGCTCTTTCTGCAGTATATGCAATAAACCTGTTTTCTATTTAGTCTGGCCTATAGGGAGGATTCTTTCACCAACCTGTATAGCTATACCACAATCTTGTTTATTTTAACCATAGAGGTAAGAAATCATTTTTAAACCTAATTGGAAAAAGATATGAGAACTGGCAACTTACTACTCCAAACAACAAGGACAAAATGCTTCTCCAGCTTTTTTTATCTTAACCCTGGGAGTTCGTTTGAGACAGACTTACTTTCTCTATTGAAAGCAGACTGAAGGACAAGCCCCATTTTCTATCCTCTTACACATTGTTAGGAAAGGAAAAGAAGAGACGCCCCCATGTCTCCTACCAGATGAACCCAGTATGTTATTAAATAAGTTGTATAGCCCTAGCATATTATGGTTCCTACTGTTCATGAGTTCCTCTGAGTAAATTAAAAAGAAGAAATCCACAGAGATTTAAAGCATGAAGTGGTTGTTTATATCCAACAGCAAAGGAGGCAGGGAAGCGCCCACCCGGTTCATCCCTGTGAGTCCCAGATCTCAGGGTCTCACTTCCTTCCACCATCAGAAACCTACCAGTCTTTTCTGCCGGGATGTATCCCATTTTCCTTTGCCACTACATATATCCTGTAAGCATTTAAACAACTGGAGTTAAAAAAAATTCCCTAAATCCCAATGCCACCCTCTGCTGCTGCCTCTCTCACAAGCTTCTATGACTTCTCTATCTCTGTGTGATGCTCAACCCTGCGGCAGGAGGCTCACAGGCCAGCCCCTGGGAACTTCATCTCTCCAGACACTGTTGGCCCTTCTCTTGGGAGAGGCCACACCCTGCCTTTGGGTCTTGTGCTATCATGCTTGCTCAGCTCCCTCCTCAAGAGACACCCACTGCCCCTTTCAACTGCATGCTCCTCCTAACACTTAAGCTCCCAGATATTATTCCTCAGCACCCCCCTTCTCACCTTATCCTCCTCCTGAGGTTTCAAATGCTCACCACATTCTGACAACTCTCACACTTACCCACTGTCAACCCTGACTCTTCTACGTTCCAGGTCTCTTAGTTAACATGTTCAAAAGAATGCTCATGATCTTCCTTCACGAGTCCCATCAAAGCTCTTGCACTGAAGCAAATGCCATCACTGTTCACCTGCTGATGCCAGAAACCTGAGGGCCTTTCCTTTCCACCTTGTTACAGGAAAGCATCTCTGAGATACATCACACCCATCTTTCCATCTTTCCCTCTCTCTACATTCTTTGCCCATTGTGTTTCAAGTTCCAGTTGTCTCAAATGTGACTCAGATCTCATTTGCCTCCTCCATCCAGCAGCCACAGTGATTACCTTGTATTATAATTATCACTGGGTACTAATGACACACAGGCCAGGCCTCACTGTGATGTTATCTGTACATGTTAAGACCTAGGTAGAATATTATGGCCTAGATAGAATGTTAAAGCCTAGGTAACTGTTGTCTGTCTAGTCTGCCAATATTTGCTGTTATTAATATTGTAAGGAAACTTTCTCATACATTGTTTCTATTATTACTAGGAACTTTCTTGTGCCAAGTTAATTACATATTCTGTTATATTCTGTGCCCTTGGAAAGCAATCATGATAGAAGTCAGTGGAATTGCTTTGTATAGTTAGCCACAATAAGATTGGACCTGAACCAACCACCCAACAGCACTTCCTGCACCTGTGTATAAGCTTTTATGATATTTGTCTTTATAAGCTGCCCCTGAGATGGACCCTAACATAAGAGAAACATCTGATCTCTTATATAAGAAGCTATTTGGAGTAAGACTTCCATTTTGAGTAGGGGTTGAGTAATGTTTAAGTTCCCAAGACCTCCCTGGGAACTGACATCCTACTTGTCAGGAAGAGACATGTACATGGGTAACTGACATCCTGGCTGGCAAGTTAAGATGTGAATGTTATATAAGACAAGTCCCATCCTGGTTGACAAGTTAAGACAAGAATGTTAGACAAGGCAAGTCACCTGCCATAGTTGAATACCCCAACAAATGGGACCAGGGTAAGTACACAACAAAGACATGTTCCTAAGGAAGTCTCCTAATTGGTGGAATAACTTGACACGGATGTTTATAGATCTCAGGCTTAAAAAACCCTTTAGGATCTTGACTCAAGGTCACAATTGGCTCCCAAGTCTGACCTATGTTCCTGATTGATCAGTCTTAGGCTGTGGCGCTCAAAAATCCATCCCTGTCTGACTGAGAATGGTTGTCTGAGTAGCTTGTGCAGTGATTCCCAGACCCCAACACTATACAGGCATATAGCATAGTTTGTTCATGCGCATCTTCCCAACCACCTCTCCCTCGCCATGTTCTCTGTATAAACAGGTATGTGTCAAGGTCTGACTTTCACAACAGCAGCCATGACATCGCATTTTCCCCGTAATTTTCCTCTGATCTCCACATACATACATGTGCAATGGCACACATGAACCCCCAGACATATAATACACGCAAAAAATGTAAAAAATAAATAATTAGAACCCAATATATCAGCAAGACTGACACAGAAAGCATTTTCATCCTCATAGAAAATTTTGCACTGAATAAATATGAATCTACTCACTCTATTAAAACAATACCAATAAAACCTATTAGAACAATAACCTTGTTGGTGATAGTTTTTTCATAAATACAAAATATATACAAAATTATAATGGAGGTGACAGAAAGCGATGACAGAATTATACTAGTTTGGTCTATGAATGTATGTGTAATATCTACTTGATTTTTATAATAATGTGGCTGTTATACTTCATTTTCTTTCTTTAATAATACTTTTATAAATAACAATTTATTTAGCAATACTGTTCACATAGTTGAACCATAATGGCATTTTCTATAGAACTCAAGTCCTATACAAATTGCATAGAACTTGTATACAAATTCGAATAAAATTTGGTAAGCATGATCCTGACTCTACCTGTGTGGTTGGTAAAAATGCAGAGAGAAGACTGATTGTATAGCTTCTCTTGGTCTTGATGATAATCATATCCAAAATTGATGAGTCTAAGATTATAAAGAAAAAGCAATTATTGAACACATTTTAAAAACATACTCCTCTCATGCATGCTATGAGCACTACAACACACTCACTGAGGTAGAGAAATGCTTCCTATACATTTCAGCAGACAATGTTTGTTAAATCATGTAAAATAGTGACTAAAAATATAAATGGTGCTTAAAAGTGTAGGCCTGGCAATAGACAGAAAATGATATTACTTACAATATATGTTTTTGTAATTTGGACCTTTATGGTAATATTATCTAAAATATAATGCTATGTTTCAAAATAGGTACAATTAAGTATCTATAGATGTTTAAATAAAGCTAATGAAGTACTAAACAGTTTAAGACTGCCATTTCTCATTTTGGAAGACTTTTTTTTCTGGCCTTTGATGTTCTATGTTTTCTCTTGTTGTTGTTGTTGTTGCTTTTAATGCTGTAGCTTCTTTTGTTTTACTACATATTAAATACTCTATGAAAAGAAAAACCTTACCCATTTGTGCAAAGAGGAAAACAGAAAAAATAAAACAAGAGACTGTGCTGAGTTACAAGTGGGTTGACCTGTGACCTCTTGTTGGCAATAAGAAAGCATTTTGATGTTTGATCTAAATGAGTTCATGCTGAATCATAAACCCTCTCTGTTTAATCACAAGGAGACAAGCACTTCCACACATCAAAATAAATGCAGGTGCCCTGCAGGAGAACATGGCTAAGAAAATCAACACAGCTGACTTTATACATTTAATCCTGTATCCCTGCTTAATAAATCAGTTTATATTCTATAAAGAACGGGAATGTTAATTAGATCCACAAGGGGCGAGGCTCACCCATTAAGAACACTGGCTGCTCTTCTGGAGGACCCAGGTCTGATAATCAGAACACACACAGCAGCTCACAACTGCTTGTAGCTCCAGTTCCAGGGGATCCAACACCCTCTTCTGGTCTCTGCAAACATTGTACACATGTAGTACAGACATATATGCAGGCTAAACACCCACGCACATAAAATGAAATAAAAGAAATCTTAAAATAGGTGCACAAAATATCAGATTGTCTGAGTATCTACCTACCATAATTAGCTCATCATTTTGCTACCTATAAATGTTTGTGAAATTTGACATTCTATGGATAATTTACTTAAATCTCAAGCCACTTAATGATATGTCCAAGGACATTTCAAACTGTCAAAAGAAATGAGGAGGATACGAGCATTAAAAATGGCATCATCATCACAAACATTACAGACCTTCCCCAGAAAATAGCACATGAATGGGTTGTTCCGTGACAAATGCTCATCCCTGAAAACATGCAAATAAGTGACACACAGACCAAATATAAATATACAGACAAGATGTAAACAAATGGAATGATTGATAAAAAAGAATTATATATGCATATATATATTCACATACACATACAATAAAAATGAATGCAAGCAAAGACCAAGAATTTAGAGAAGAATGAGGGAAGGAGAGATTTTAACTATACTATAATCTCAAAAAGATTAAGTAAAAAACAGCATTACATAATAACGGTTGTAAATGCAAAGCAAATTGGCGGTGCTCGGCTGGCCTGGTGGTAAAGAGTCCCTTAACCATCACCTCCAGAGGCTAGACCCACACCCCACAGTGCAGGAAGTGCACTGGGAATCCTGGAGTTTACAGACACGGTCAGTGTATGCTTCCCTGCAAGGCTGACTCTGTCTTTAACTTGAGTATCACCAACAGATTGTACACTGTACGAGGATGATTGACAGCTGCCACCTTTCACAAGCCATAGATAGTTGTGGAAGGAAGGGAGCCTGGGATTTCTTTTGGAGTGTGTGGATGGGCTAAAAATGGGGCATGAAATGATAAGCAAGTCTTGTAATAGTGGCAAACCAATATGTGCTTGATACCAATATTGGTCCTAAGAAAGGAAGGAAATACTGTCCATCTCAGATAAAGACATAAGAGGCACCTTCCCATAGACAAACTAATGGCAATAGCTTTTCCAAGGGCAATGCTGGTACTTACTAAACTATACACTCTGACTTTCTTCCTCAAATCCATTCTATTCGTGATTGCTTTGAGTCAAATAACTTGCAACCACTTAGTGTGATCTACTCTGGGTCACACCTATTACCTTGCTCTAGGCCCCAGGTAGGGTGGTCACCTGAAAAGCGCACTCTCCTCTGCATGATGTCCTCTTCACCTGTATCAACTCTGCACTTGTTAGAGAGCTGAGGCCTTGTGACAGCACAAGCCAAGTTATCTGATCACGCAAGTGGTTGGTGCAATAGCAAAATGTCCAAATTTTGGCTAATGATATTGAGTCTAGTAAAATTTCCTAGGAGTGATCATTCTATGTACTTACCAGTAAGTTAAAACTTTCATCTGCCCAAAACTGGATGCATTTCAAGATACTCCTTGGTGTCTAGAAAAGAAATGCTTGGCATATTATCCCCCAAATAAAAAGACTGACAAGAAAACACAGTCAAGAAGCAATAATGAAAAGCTATTCATTATCTGTAATAAACCTTCACTGACTGCCCTCATTAAAGACACTGCGGCTATTAAAGAGCAGGGGTCTCAGTGGGGAAGAACACTGGCTGCTCTTCCTGAGGACCTGGGCTAGATTCCTGGCACACACATGGTGGCTCCTAACCATCTGTATCTCCAGTTCCCGGGGATCCAGTCCCCTCTTCTCCCTTCCACAGGCACTGCACATACATGGCACACAGATGCACTTCCAGGTGAGACATCCATATGCATAAAATAAATAGATATCAACACAGCAATGATGTCAAAATTATATTGTTTCCATAGAAATAGGTACCCATGGGGTAGTTTTTACCTTTAGTTCAATATAATGTAGTCTCTGCTCTGACATATCCCACTGAGCCCAAACAATGTCTTCAGCTATTCTGTCTCTTGGGAGATGGCTAGAATTTCTAATCACCTAGGGACAAAATGATTTAATAGGTATTTTTAAAATGACATCTTAAATTGTTTTTACATGCCCTATCCTTATGATACATGCAAATGCCACTTATCTATTATTAGCACCTCCCCATATCCAAAATATACACAGCTTTTCATAGAACTTTTAAGGCATCACTGCCTCTGCCCTAATGCCCTGTACTCTAGTCTTCCTCTTAGCTCAATAAGCAGGTCAGCAGAGACCATACCTTCCACAAAAACATCTGTATTGACAGAATCTGTGTAAGTTCCTGATGTAATCATACCCTTCGGCCAGGTCTTTACAGACAAACGCCTTCAGCTCTAAAGACAAAGGCTCCTGATGCTGGGGAAGCACTCAGGTCTGACAAGGAGAGTTCTGTAATGGCCCAGCTGAGCCATACACCAGCTTTGGTCTTGGTTCCACAAGAGGGATGGCACTGCACATCCCTCACCTCCGACTCCCCATAAGAAAGCAAAGTTCCTCAACGCTATTCCAATGGGGTCTTGTGAGCTTCTCTTAGTTACGTCTTAGTCAGAACCATGTCCTTCCCAATGAGCATGGGACCCCTGCTGACTCATGTCCTGAGTGGTACTAGAATTTAACATTACTCCTTCTAGAAATGAAGGAAGAAGAAATAAAAGAATATTAAGAATATTTTAAATGTTAAATGTCTGTTCAAACTTAAAGAACAATAGAGACTTAAAATCAAAGAATTGGGAGCTGGGGCTATAGCTCAGCTAGTAGAGTATTTGCCTAGTATGCAGGAAGCCTCCCCCCCACAATTCCCTATGAGCCAGGAGTCATAGCATATGACTGTATTCCCAGCACATAGGAGGATCAGAAGTTTAGGGTTGTTCTTGCCTACATAAGGAACTCAGGGGAAAATATACCAGAGAGGTTAGACTAGGCTGTGAAGTTAGTTCAGCAAAACCTAGACTCCTAACATCTGGCACTTTGCTAGTGATTGTTTTTCATATCAGCAGAGTTCTCAATAACTTTATAGAAGGAGCTAAGAATTTACTTTCCAGTTGAATGGTAGATAGCTCAGATGTAAATTATTGTCTTGTAAGCATAGAGCCTAAGGTTGATCCTCAAAACCCACATAAAGAATCCAGGCACAGTGGCTTACACTTGTAATTCCAGGACTGGGGAGACAGAAACAGACAGCTCCCTGAGGCTAGCTCACTACACAGTGTAGCCTAATTAGCAAGCCCCAGGCTAGTGAGAGACCCTGTCTCAAAAATATAAGGTAGATGGTACTTGAAGAAGCACCCCCAAGGATGACCTCTGGCCTATATTGTGCACTCTTGTGCACGCGTGCACACACACATACACATACATACCTACAGACACCAGCATAGACACACATACACACATATACCAAACATACATATACACACCAGCATTAACACACAAACACACCAGCATACACACGCATGCACACACACAAAATGCACACATACACACATGCATACATATGCATTCATAAGGAATTTACTTTTCTAAATTGGGCATGGTGGCTCACATGTTAAGGCCAGCACTCAGGATGCTAGAGCAGGAGGATCACATGTTCCAGGCAAGACTAAGATACAGAACAAGACACAGACTAAAGGAAAAAAAGGGAAAAATGGAGTTTATTTTGAAAGGGCAATGGGTATGGCTTAGAGGCAGAACATACACTTAGCATGTGGAAGAACGTGTGCTTAGTATGTGGCAGAGTATGCACTTAGCATGGAAGATTCCAGGCCTAAGTCATTCTCCTCAAAATGCCTAACAAGCAAACATCAAACCATAAAAAAAACCTCATGACCCTGAGCTGGACCAGGAAAGGAGCTTCAGGATGCACCCTCTCTGACCCTCTCCAGTGCCAGTTGGAGGTTAAGTATGAAGAGCAAGGACCCACACAGCCCTAGTTCTTGCTCTCTTGGTCCCTCACCATTAGGGCGTGGGAAGTGCTGTTAAAGACCCCCAGAGCACCTGTAGGAATCCTCTAAATCCATCTTGGGTTCATGTGTATGAATTCTGGGTTAAGGGACAGGCTTGGGAATCGTTTCAGCCAAAGCCACAGGACAGCAAGGTAAGCATCAAATTGTGTCATGGCCACGATAAAATATCCATTGTGTGTGTCCCTCTGGGGTGACCTCGCTTATGTGAGTCTTAGTTGTCGTTTTCTCTGAAGATGGAGTTACAGTGCCACCTGTTATTTAAGGATGTTAGGTGAACATGTGGAATCACATACCCTTATAGAAGGAAGCTGTTATTTCTTAAAAGTGGGGAGAGTGGTGCCCAGGCAGGGCACCAGGGGATGGAGAAACAGCAAAGCTGCCATCTAGGCAGTAAGATCCTGTCTGGGCAACTGGAAGGAGCCCCCATGTTTCTCTTCTCTTCCTCTCCTCTCCTCTCCTCTCCTCTCCTCTCCTCTCCTCTCCTCTCCTCTCC